TAGACACCACTGACATACGGTGAAGGTAAACATCGTGAGGAAACCTGGACTTATAATTTCTAATTGTAAGTTTGAAATCGCCAGCCCGCATTGAGCAAGCGTGGTGATTAATGCTCAAACGCAGTGGGCACTTATAGGCTGATGATGATGATGATGATCTATTGTAGATCCTGGCTTACAGGAGTTGCAGCAGTTTGATTGTTTTGAAGAGTTTATCCTATTAATCAAAAGCCTAAAAGGAAATCAGAAACTAAAAAGTATAACCTATTTTGAACTTTGTATGCGAATTTATTAAGCTCTTCTTTCCATTATTTCAGATTCATGCATCACATTGGCTGGAGCTGCAAGGCGACACGGCTCGGAGCAGGAGAAGGAATGACGTCGTTTTTAGTCAGTAAAAGTCAGACAATCAATCTCGCCCCAATCAGGGCGGAAGAAACCATTGCATGGTTTTCACAAACTATTATGCCATCAAGGTTCAGAAGCTAAAATGGATTTGTCACTAGTTACTACACTTTTTCTGCGTAAGAAGACTTTTAAGACTTTCACTTTTTCTGCGTAAGAAGGATTTTCACTCAAAATATCTGATTGGGCTGGCTAAGGCTGTCCAGCCAGGGTTGCAGTAAGCGCAATAATGTACCGTGGTGGCTCCGGTCCGCACCAAGAGAAGGAACAGAGTGGGTCATAGTCAGTAAGAGTCTGACACTCCTTTTGAATGCACGGTTGACACGGTGGCGGGGTAACCGGCTACCGAGCAACGTGCCGCGGGTTCGGTTCTCGCACGGAACAACACCTTTGGTGATCTACAATTACTTACCGGTTTGTTTCGGGTCTGGGTGTGGGGTGTACGAAATTGTATGTTTGTAAACGCACCACGACAAAGGAGTAATTAAAAAAAAAACCATAAACGAAAGCTCCCCTCTAGCCCTACATAACAGAAAAAGTATCTATACTAATATTATAAAGAGGTAAAATAAATAGGTTTGTATGTAGGGGTAATCTTTGGAACCGCTGGTCGGATTGTCAAAATTCTTTTACTGATACTAGATAGCTACAATGGTCCTGAGTGCTATAGGCTATAAAACATCGAAACCGCGCGAGAGTAGCTAGAATGATATTTTTCCTCCCTCAAAAACATCGCGAATACTACCTAACTTTACAATAAATATAAATATTAATAATTGTCCAGAATCCATCCATAATATAACAGTTATAATAATAATAAAACCATTTCTCTTTTTATTTTTCTGTCAGATGACGCAGGCCGGGCGCTGCTGGTACCAGTGATCAAGATAGCACCGAGACCTCTTTTTGTTACACTTACCTCATTAAAACATGTTACTGGCCAGTGTCTGACAGAAGCATGGATAAATGTTACCTGAATGTTTATCCAGACTAGTCCAGACTACAATCTAACTCTGTGCCAAGTTTTATAGATATATGTAGATACGAGAACTGGCACTTCACTCGGCGAAAAGCAAAGCGGTTAGGTTAGGTAAAAAATATGATTATGTTTTATAATTATAAGTGCACAGTTGAGGCGGTGGCTGGGCTACCGGCTGCCGTGCAACATGTAGTGTCTTCGATGTCCCTTTGTGCGATCCTCACAAATTAAAAGCGTAGGTTAGGAAAAAATAATGATTATGTTTTATATATATAGGTAATAATAAGTGCAACATGTAGTGTTTTCAATGTCCTTTGTGTGACTCCACAAATTGTTGTTCTGTGTCTGGGTGTGATGTGTATTCGAAATTGTATATTTGCGCTCCAGCACAGGGAATAATTCATGCCATGCTATTTCCATAGTTATCATGGCTAAGCCATAGCAACCATGCCCTTATGAATTTTACCACATTTCATAATACAATCACTGCCGATTGCTTGCCGATGATTTATTGCATCCTTGCACTTTCACTCAGCATTCAGGATTAACTGATGGCTGATATCCCAGCATATTTAAATTAAAATTGTTCAATGGGCGTCTACGAGTCGGCTTCGGCTCCTCGTACGCCTTCCAAATATCGAGATCCTGTCATCCAGTGAAAGGAAAAGATAAAACAATAAAATAACAGAAATGAAAATTACGTCCATTACTCCTGTTTGACACCGAAGCTGACTCATAAGGATATTACTTAACTAATTACTAAAAACGATGTGTAATCAATAGTTGTCGTCACATCGCTCAGCTGTGACTCATAGACAACTTTCATGTCATCAGAAAACAACATTACATTCACTTTATCTTTAATTTTGGAACCTGAATGACTCACGTGAATATTATTAATATTAAATTAACATAAAATCATAACAGTTTTTATTGGAAATGTGTGTTGAATAACTGGTTGAAAGGTAAACGTGGGAGAGCCTAGCTTCGGCACAAATGGGCCGGTTTGACTGGAGTGATACCACGGCCTCAAAGAAAACCAGCGTGAAACAACCACAGCCTTGTCGGTCGCCATTTGAGTGACGTTATTGAAGGAAGAAATCCGTCCTTCCCACCCATTTCTCCCCAATCCCTAAATCTCCAGAAACCTAATCTCAAAAGGCCGGCAACGCACTCGTAACTCCTCTGGTGTTACGGGTGTCCATGAGCGACGCCGATTGCAAACCACCAGGTAATCCGTCTGCTTTTTGCCGATCATAAAAAAAGTATCTGGACTTATTCTGAATTTTTCCAGTCCTTTACGGTAGATAATCCTAACCTAATATTGTGAGGTGAACTTTGCCACTAATAAAAGTCCCAGCACTTATTTCCAGAACGTGCATTCATAGATTGCCAACTAGACGCCACGGAAGTGCGAGAGCACGACCGAGTTCAAATGTCCACCTTGAGCGCGCTCATAAAATGATACATTGTAGGTAGGTAACTGATTAATAAAAAAAAAAGTTTCTTAAGCAACTACCAGCCTAGTACACTAATTCTGATTGACTCTTGTCTTCATCCGATGTTAGGGTCAGGTAAAGTATTATCTGTTTCGGATAATAAATAATAATGTTTCGTCCGAGTGTCGTTATTGTGAGGACCATCTAGAGGACGCTGTGACGGTGGGGGTGTGCCCTGCTTGGGCTGAGCACCGCCGTGCCGTCAGTCGGCCATAGTGCAGCGCCGTCTCGTCTTTCTGTGAAACAGTTATCGCAAAGAAGAATGCTAACCGCGTGGAGCTATCCTCCTCCTTACGCCCCAGCCGCCGCAGTAGGAGACATTCTGGGCGTCGGGGATCGAGTAATGATCTCCGGCCACTGAAAGCGCGGTTCTGCGGACGGCGAGTAAGGGTAGCTCGCCGCCAGACTAGAACCAGACCCAAGCGGACAGCGCGTAGCGTTCCGCGCGCGTGTTAAGATCCCATACACCCCCACTGACGGGCCTCAATAGGGCTGATGTTCAGGTGGGGTTGCGGGATAAGGGCAATGAGTCATCACGGTCTCGGCCCAGAGCAGAAGAAGGTACGGGGGTGTTTTAGCCACTAAGAGTCGGACAGTCTCTCCAGAAGTCATTCGATGATTCTTCTATCACAAAAAGCAAAGTATTATAGTACACCATTGTCCTCTTGAGAGGGTGAAGGAGGAGAAAAGTAATTGTTAGTAAGAGTCTGGAACTCCCTCTCGCCCCAACCAAGAATTGGCCCATTCCTGGTTTCCTACCTCAAAAATAGGCACAGTTCAAAAATAGGCAATAAAACACATTGTTTCAATATTCTCTCATGCTTAACGTCGCTGGTGAAGATAGATCTCAATTACCTATACAATCTCTTTCACTTCTTCATAGGCTTATTTCCTCTTCTCATATCTTCACTCCTCTCTATAACTATAAACTATAAATTTCGTCTTTTTTAGATTGATTATAGTATGCAGCTTGGACGCAAAGACACAAGAATGACTTGATCATCGTTGTGTAGCGGTGTTTTGATCACTGATTCATTCATTCTTACTCTACAATTACCCACGTTCTTTCAAGTCACTTAAGCAATTAAAAAGGTTATACCACCTTTTTAATGCTAAGATGCTACACCATGCTGTGCAGACCCCATTAAATCTGTCACATAGGTACTGCTCTTGAATCCTTATATTAGGATTGAAATGGTAAACAAATTCTCCTCAATTCATCCATTCCCACTGTATGGTAACCCTTCTCCAAGTCAACAAAAGCACAGATAACCTCAATTCAGTAAATTTTATTACGACCGTACGTAAATTAACTGAGAAAAGCTCTAAATATTAACTATGCAAACAACTTTGTGCTATTTTGCTAAAGCTCTCTCCGTGATGCATCACAAGACTACTCGTCTCCAGATGTACAACAGGTTTACTTCCGTATGCATATCGTCTGGATTCCCATTAAAACTTTTTTACTTAGGTATACCACAATCATCATTTTGAAGCAGTTCTATACGTACCAATCGCAGGTTTTGAAAATAATTTATTTAATAATTTCGTTACCGGTTACAAGTACCGTCTTATTGCATTTTTTCTACATAATGTATATTTTTTTTTAAGAAAAAGAAATTGATTTTACTTTTGTGCTATTGTACATTCATGTAGTCTTCACGTTTTATCTTAACCGTAGATCTTCGATCTCAAATTGTACGAAGTAGGTTCCTAAGTAAGTAACGAATTATTTTTTAACCATCAGCAACACCCCAGCAAGTTTGAAGTTGCGCCCAATATGTACCTTGTTACTTTTTCGACATTCCTTTTTTATCCCTTCTGGTCATCTCCTCAAACACGAAAAAGAGCGTGATATTAATGTAGAATTTCTTATCACACAATCGTTTAGAAACGAAATCAAATTTGACAAATGACAGTGACACGGCCAAGATATGAAATGAACTGTCAAAACAAAACAAATTCCTAGCAGTGTAAAATTCTCGAGGTTTTTTTTGTATAAAAGCTAAAATGAAATAAGAAAAAAATATTTACATTAATCAATAATAAAGTGCACCTAGTAATCTTAAAGGTTTGTATGCCATTTCATTAAAACATAAAATATTTTTCCTACAAAAATGCCGCACGTGCCATCGTATCGGTAAAGCGTGCTACATTTCAATATTTTAGTTAAAATCTATTGTTTGTTGTTTATAAACGGCAGCTACTACAATAATTATACTTTTAATTCTAATTTTAATTCAACAATCATTTAAAAAAGCTCAATATAACCTCAAATATGTAAACAAAAACATGTGAACTTGAGGAGGTTAGAAAGCAAGGAGGTATTACATCCAAAGTAACAAAGTAAATCCGTTTTAATTTTCATTCTATCCATAAAAGTTATCAAGGAAACTCACCGAACAAGTAATCTCTAAATATAAGATTTCAATAGGCAATTTAAATACATTTGAAGAATGCAAATTTATAAAATAGTTAACCAATCCCTTTGGGTGTTTTAGTAGTGTGATTCTAATAAATTTTTATACTCCACAGAATGGAAGAAGCAACCAAACCTTTGCAGCCCGTCAACGGGCAGAAACGCAAAAGAAAAACAAAATCAAAATTCACTGCATCACAACAGAAAAATGAAAAATTTGACAATTCTACAGAATCAGCGGTGATACCGGAAAAGAAAGCGGTATCACCAACCAAGTTAGCTAAATTACAGGGTAACTCTGTTGGCACAAAGACCAAAGGGAAACTAGAAAATTCTGCAGATTCTGAAGTGTCTCGGGAAAAGAAATCAGTGTCACCAACAAAGACCGCTAAAATACAGAGTAACCCAGTAGGTAAAAAGACCAAACGTAAACTAGACAATTCTGCAGACACAGCGGCAACATCAGAAAAGACAGCAGTGACTCCAGCAAAGGTAGCTAAAACACAGAATAAAACCATTGGTACGAAGTCCAAACAGGAGGATGGTAAATTGGAGGGCAATGACAGATTCCCGATATTAAAGAACCAAGAATTGATCAGCAAGTTCCTTAAAGTACCTATGTCTAACAATCAGAAAGGTAATGCACATATTTGTATAATACAGACTTTTTTATGGAATAGTAGGCAAATGAGCAGACGGGCCACCTTATGGACAGACCAGAGCAGACAGAAGCGGGTGCTTCTGACTGCTCTGGTCTGGCGTGTTTTCAAGAAGTATGCTCGCTTTTTGGTGGTCATATCTATTCATTATCATCATTCCAAGTTTCGCGTTAATCCCACAGTTTTTAACTGCCATCCATCTAATATTGTAAATGCGAAAGTTACGATGTTTGAATATTTGTTACTTACGCCAAAACGACTGGCCGGATCTGGATAAAATTTGGCACACTACCTACTCACTTTGACCTGTACCTACGTGCCTGTACCTATATGTGAATAGGACGTAGGCTACTTTTCATCAACATGCCGCGCGGGCGGATACTTCTCACTACTACTACTACTACACTACTATCTTACTTTTAATTTAAAATTCGGTTAGTTTATATTTGGTAAGCAGATAGTTATTATTTACATGTTACTTAGATTGTTGCACTTTAATAGTGTTAATGAACTTTCATTTAGTTGAATTTTCACTTTTCTGGGTAATGTAAAAGTACATTTTGCAAAATAAATAATAACTTTTTAAGATTCTTGCTTGCATATATACGATTTGACTGCACGGTTGGCGCAGTAGCTGGGCAACTGGCTGCTGTACAACATGTCGAGGGTTCGATTCCCGCAGGAAACAACACTTTTTGTTATACTATGATCCACAAATTGTTGTTTCGGGTCTGGGTATTCATATACTTGCCGTATATGAATTTGTATGTTAGCAAAACGCACCCGAACTTTTAAACCTTTGCGTTTCATATTTACAACATATAGTTACGCGGGTAAACGCACCCATCCACGTTAGTAAAGAAATATTTGTATCCAGCTTCATTGTAATAAAATAAAAATGTATTATAAATACTACCTCTCACCTATTCCTGGGCAACTAAAAAAATATTTTCTCCTGTAAATAGGATTAAAAATCTTTTCTGTTAGGCGTAAACAGTATTCTATCAACCATTTTTAATCCAAACTTTTTCTTATTTCAGGACGAATCCGTCAAGCGATCAAAGCTTCATTACAAGGTACATCAAATACCATACAACCAGAGATAATACATAACAAAATCCAATCCATCCTCAATGAATCACCAAACCCTACCGACTCACAACTCCGTAGGATCCGTATACTCTATAACCTCCTCAAAACCTCTCTAGAGGGCAAAGACAAGAAGGTTGAATTCAAACCGAAAGTCAAAGTAGAAAAAGATAAACCTGAGAAAAAGGAGAAAATAAAGAAAGAGACAGAAGATGGCTCAACAGAGAAGGAGAAAGAGGGAAAGAACGATAAGGGGGAGAAAAAAGAACAGATTGCGAAAAAGGTTAAAGGTCCAAAGAGGTATGTTGTGTTCTTGGGGAACTTACCGCTGGATATTGATAAGGACAAGGTGAGTGAAATCTTTTCTTTTAAATTTAAATTGCGACTTTTGGGACCGTTAAATAATTATGGCTACAATACCGTCAACGTATCTTGGCGAGTCTGAAGTTAGCCGATTAGCTGCGCAGTACACAATTTTTGTTCCTAAAAGATCCATTGCGCAGACAAACGGCTAACTTCAGACTCGCCAAGATACGGGCGGCCGTACTGTACTGTTGTTTAATACCGGTACCTAAATAATTGGTTTTGTAATGACTCTTTTTTAATCTTCCAATCGTAATTCGAGACACAATAGAAGAAGTATAAGTGCGATTACGCCGCCGAGGCGTTCGCGGCGTTCGGGCGTTGATGAACGAATGCCATACTTATGCCTTTGGAATCGAAGTTAAAAATCTATTCAAAAGTCTGTAGAAAAGCTTTCTTTATGTATACATTTATGATCTTAATACAAAATATGACTCATCTTGATACAAATAAAGTATATTTTTGTATAATTATAGTCTTTAAGAACATTTACTATGAATACATTTTTTTTTACTATAATTTAAGCGTTATTGCGTTATACTTTATAACGGCCTGGTAGCCTGGACGCCCGGGGGTTGCGGGTTCGAAACCTGACTAGCACCAAAATGACTTTTTCCGAGTTATACGTACTTTCTAAAACATGGTCAAGTAACCTGGACTTATAATTTCTAATCATGTTTTAACCCGCATTGAGCAAGCGTGGTGAATAATGCTCAAATCTTCTCCGTGTGAGAAGAGGCCTTTGCTCAGCAGTGGGCACTTATAGGCTGATGACGATGATGATGATGAGGAAATGGTATTACTTCAGTTTTTTTTATTATTTCAGATTATGAACCACTTCTCAGAGATGAACGAGCATATTGTAGATATACGTATTCCCAAAGCTATGGACGGAAAGAAGAGTGCCATCGCTTATTTAGAACTCAGCAACGAACCGAGCTATGAGGTATGTAGCAAAAACGGACCACACAGAGGTCCACACATAAAATACAACACCTATTTTTCTATGGTATAATGGTTCGGGTTTTCTGTGGTAAGCAATCAGCGCTACCCATTGACACCCATACCCATGCAACAATGGAAGAGTTACGAGCGCCTTATGGAATTAGGGTTTTAGAGATTCAGAGATGGGGGGGATTGGGCCTCCGGTAACCTCACTCACACGGCCGAACACAACGCTGTAGTTGTTTCACGCCGCCCGCTTTTCTGTGATGTAGTGGGATCACTCCGGTCGTTCCGACACATTCATGCCGAAGCATGGCTTGGTATGTCTTTTTATATTAAAGAGGTCGTATAAAATCAAGTAGGTCATAAATAAATTAATTTGATGTTTCAATACAATAAAATATCGAAAAATAACTATACCTTTATTCATCAATCGATTAATACACTAAAATTTAGATATTTATAAATTAATTTTTAAACAATAAGTACGCTATTTGACGCTTAAATAATATGACGTCATAACTTAAGAGTTTCATACAAATTTCATAGAAAAGTATCGTTGTTGACATTAAGATGAAAGTATTGAATTTGACTAGTTAAACACTACCTTATTCGAAATACTAAAATTGGCTCAATGATTTAAAGCTAGACTTAAGAAAAAACTTATTTTGGCACGTAATAAGGCCATGTATGTTGTCGTCTCACAGGATTTTTTTAACTTGTATCTCTTGTTTTTTCAGTTCGCGTTATCAAAACACCACTCCATGTTGGGTAATAAAAGGATCAACGTGTTATACACGGCGCCTAAGAACGGAAAGCAGAGCAAAACTAGTGCAAAGGTAATTATATAATAGAATAGAATAGAAATTATATTTGCTTAAACATACAGAATTAAAATAATACATGCATTAAAGATCTTAAATAGGCGTGGGTCATGACATGTCTGCCTATCTCAAGGCGTGCAAATATGTTAGGTACAGTTTTTTTAAATCGAATACATTCAAATTATACGAGTACATTACACTTATACATTAAATTATATCAATTTTATTATATAAAAAAATAACAATATATTAATTGGTCATTGGTTGGTGCGGTGGCCGGGCAACTGGCTGCTGTGCAACGTGTCGCGGGTTCGATTCCCGCACGGAACAACTATTTGTGTGACCCACAAATTGTTGTTCCGGGTCTGGGTGTCATGTGTATGTGAAATTGTATGTTTGTAACCGCACCCACGACACAGCAGAAAATCCTAGTGTGAGGCAACGTTTATTTTAAAAAGAGAAAGAGAAATATCGTTAATTCATTACATTATACATTTACGATTTAATTTTCTAACATAAGGAGTAATTTAGAAATTCAATAATACTATAATAAGCTTTTTTGTAAATAACTATTTGAAAGTATGTTTAAGTTGATGTATTGTTTGCTCCTTCCAACTTTTGAGCAAAAGTGCAGTAATGATAATGAAATATTAATAACAATCCTATAGTTTGAACGCCTTTAATGAGACATCTTTTTTATGTTGGTTAACGAAAATACGGATTACCTGATGTGTGTAAGAAATCGGCGCCGCCACGAATGCGTTGCCGATGTTTTTGGCGCTGAGTTCTGGGAATTTAGGGATTGTGGAGATGGGGTCCTATACTACAGGTAGTTGCCATAAACTGTGAAGTAAGCTTACATGTGTTTTTATTTATTTTTTCAGGGTAAATCAGCTAAATTAATTGCCCTACAGAAATCGGGGAAGTTGGTAGGCAGTATCCCCTTAGCAAAGAAAAGGAGTCAACGTCGGCTGAAAATGAAACAAGCCCAAGCAAAATTGGCCGCTGAAACTGCCTGAAAGACTATAAAAACACTCCGCCATAAATCAAAATAATCCATTAAAAGCTACTATAATTAATATGGATTTAAAAACTATTTTTCTTAGTTGCCTTACTACATCGATTTTTAGAAAGACCCGTAGTTTTTATAACAATTTAAAAATAAAAAAAAGAAAGCATTCAGTTTTTGGTTTTTAAAAAAAAAACAAGATAGAATGATAATGTCTTTGATATTTCAAAAGATTCATTATTAATTTGTTTTTTTTTAATCCATATTAATGAAATAACAATAAAAAGTTAATCAGAAAAAAATAAGATATAAGGCAATAAGATACGTTTAAAAAAAGAATATGATTTGATTTCGTTTTCAATTATTTTTAGGAGAAAAAGATGAGTTATAAGACAGTATTGGAACGCATACTTGTACTATACTAGGTACTTTCAATATACACATTATTTTATATGTAAAATGACTTTGTTTTATTTAATTTTGCTACCTGGATACTAAATGTATCCACTACTAGCTACTCTCGCGCGGTTTCACCCGCTGATCGGTTGCATTTAATCGTAGCGTGATGTTTTATAACCTACTCAGGAACATTGTAGCTATCTATCAGTGAAAGAATTTTGACAATCCGACCAGCGGTTCCAAAGATTACCCCCTACATACAAACTTACAAATTTTACCTCTTTTATTATTTCCATATCCACTTCGATCAACCTTCACTTTAGTTGGCAACTCCCCGAAAGGAAACACCCATTGAGCAGATTGTCTTTTGGTTTCAGGATCATAACAGTAAATCCAGCTTTCGTCACCTGTTAGTACTTATATCGAACACAGCATTTGAGTCACCTCCGTTAAATCTTTCACACGATGGAGTTTTTGAGCCTCAGTCAAATTATGAGGTATCCACCGGGCGCAAAGCTTCCTCAACGCTAAATGTTCGTGGAGGATTTTGTGCACTTGACTCATACCTATGCATAAGCTTGTCCGAATCTGCTTATAGGTCAGTCTATATTGTATAGTCTATGGGTCAGTCTCTATCATACGCCGCACAACACAGATGCGTTATCTTCAGTCGTCGCCGTAAAAGGCCGCCCCTCACGTAAATCATCAGTGAGATTAATGCAACCACGTTTAAACTAATTAAACCAGTTTTAAACAGTCGTATGAGATGGGGCTTCATCATGAAAGGCCAATCGTAATCTGTCATAACTTTCTTGTTGACTTAAATGACATAGAAAGTCACAAATAATCATTGCAAGAAAATTTTTTCGTATTTAATTCATGCTGACATGACACAGACGATTTTCAATTTGCAGCTAAATCGTAAAACAAATGACAGATAAAAAGAATATAAGAATAGAATAGAGATCATATTTGCTTATACATGTGTATGAAAGATCTTAAATAGGCGTGGGTCATGACAAGTCTGCCTATCTCAAGGCGTGCAAATATAGTCTCAGAGTAGAATAGTAAAAAAGTAGGTAGATTACACTTATACATTAAGTCATATCAAATTTTAAAGATTAGATTAACAATATATATTGGTTACATACACATATTATTACATTATCAATTAATATTTATTATTTAATTAAATAACAAATGAAATATACTCAGTAATATTGGCAAAGAGTTCTATTTTCAAATTTTAGAATTATTTTTTTATTATATTGTTAATAAGTGGCCAGTTCTAAGAACTTTCAGATTGACCCTCATAAAAAGTGATAATTCAGATCCTATAAACCTGGCTCTAAAAACTGAAATAATAATCCACCTATCCACGTAGTCGATGTCATCGCCGTAGCTTTGTAGTTGAGTTTTTATTATCTTGGGAAAATACATCAGTCGTTCTCAATGGGGTCAGACAGGGAGTATTACTGGCTAAAAACCAACCAGTTCCTTTTCCGGCTAGGGCTGTGCGGTACGTTATTGCGCTGACCCGAAACCCCTATTGAACATCAGCCCCATTGGTCCCCATCTGGGTTGTAGTTGTGGTTTAACCTACACTAGTCTTAACTGAGACTTATGACTAGACCCACGGAATATGACTAGACCAGTTTTAGTTAATTCTAGCTTGTCTAGATGGCGCTATAATTATTTCGTTGTTAAATGATAGATGGCGCTGTACTCAATCGCCATACAAACCATGCAAAATGTATGAGATTCTACATCGCGCTATTAAAGTTTTCGTCGTGTTTGTGACTGGTATTATAATTTGGCCTAAGCAAGTGTACTTGCTTCGGCAGTACATATACTAAAATTGGAACGATACAGAGAAGATTAGCATGGCCCCTGCGCAAGGATGACACGCAAAATCGTGAAGCGTTCCACATTTTTTGAAGATCTTTAGAACGGTACCGGTGGAAGGATTAGTATAATATTTATATTATTTTTTTTGTATTATGATGAGTGTTCGTGTTATTTTGATATTTTGATGTTTTTCAACGCTTCTATATTCCGTATAGTGTGAAGCTGAGAATGAAATATCAAATAAAAAGAGATAATAATTGTATAAAGCAATGTGTATTAAGAATTATATTATAATTAATACCACGGCCTCTCAGAAATCCGGCGCGAAACCGTGTTTTCGGAACCCAATACTGCCCCCTCACATTTCTCAGTATCCACGTACTGTTATCTTGGAACACAGAATGGCAACCGACCTCAGGGGAGCTTTTGTTATTTTAACAATGACGTTCATGTATTGTATTGCTGATACAAACAATTGTAGCAAGAACACACATAATACGACAAGTCGTGTTAATTTCCAAAAAAGTACCAGGATTGCATGCAGTTAAGAGTATCGTTGGGTCACTTTTATTCGATATTTAGGTAGGTAGTTCTTTCTTAGAAATAAATACGGTTGTATTTACATTTATTTACTTTTATTCATTTAAACTTTATGCAACACTAGCTAGGTACTCTCGCGCGGTTTCACCCGCTGCTCGGCTTTTAGAGATGGTCTGCCCACCATACACTAAAGTGCAGTAACAGCAAAATCACGATTTCGAGTAAAACGCATTTAAAGTTAAGAATTGATTTTAAAAAATCAACACAATGTATAAGCAAAAAAATTTGAATGCAGAAAGGTTGTAAAGGCATAGGTTCACACGTTAAAGCAATAAAAAAAATATATCTTAATAACTGAATTTATTATGGCCATTTATTCTTTTTGATGCCTATTACTGCATAGCCTTTTTTGTAAAAAATACCATTTTAAACTTAGTAAAATGCAGCAAAAAGCCCTATTACTGCGTTTGGATCAGTTATTTTGTCAAGAAACCCAACTAACATGCAGTAAGGTCAAAAAAATACTGCATTTTAGTTAGTTTTTTAAGAAAAAAGTGTTCAATTTACTAGTGCAGTAAGAAAAATAGCTAGTTCACATTTTAAAGACCGTTTATTTCTTATTATTTAATCACAATAATTCAACTCACTTACGTACAATTTACATATCAAATATAAAAAAAAAAACATCTAATTAATAAAGGACCCTGCGCAGAATGCACAACCTCCTTTGACAGTTTTCTCTTAATATTAACTTAATATATATAACATAGGTAATGTATCTATTAACTGCACTTTAGCTAGGAATAATCATATCTGTGTCATTATGCTATCCAAACTAATCTGCAGTAATGCTGTATTTTACTGCGTGTTAGTCAGTTTATAATGATAAAAGAATGTTAAGTATTCACAACTAAAATGCGACAAGCTTTGATTTTACTGCATTTTAGTTGGGAGTTCGTGACAATAAATTGTATTTTCTTAATTTGCAGTAAAAATAGCTTGTATGGCGGTAAATTTTACTGCGTATTATTTTTTTTTTAATTTTTTTCCAGAAAAATAAAACTATCTAAAGAACTGTAAAATTATATTGCTTACTGCATTTTAGTTATGAAACCTTAAAATTTAATCTGCAGTATAATTTATACTGTATTTTAGTTGGGAAATCACGCCAAATTGTTAATTTTTTTCGTTTGCAGTAAGTGAAAACTGTTAAATAAAAACCATTCTAATAGTCTTAGAAATAAGTAAGTTAATTCAATAGAAAGCTTAAGAAACCCGCTTTCAGAATCACTAATAAAACGAAAAATCACAAAAGGGCTGTTACTGCTCTTTAGTCTCTGGTGGGCAGTGGTAGCGTGATGTTTTATAACCTATAGCAACTCAGGAAGATTGTAGCTATCTATCAGTGAAAGAATTTTGGAAATCCGACCAGCGGTTCCAAAGATTACCCCCTACATACAAACTTCCAAATTTTACTTCTTTATAACATTAGAAAGGCTGACTTCATGCCGTAGGCGTTCTTACAAACTATACTTATAGGTACCAGTCAATTCTAGGGTGATGAGACATTTTTATTTTGTCAAAAATCATGATACTTTGTATAACTATATAACTTGATAAATTTGTAAATGTGAGTGCCTTGTAACCTATTATTACAATTGGTTAGACCAGCAGAATGTCGGTCCTTATAACAGCTTGGAGTTGTCATGCTCACTGAAAGGTCACATTGGTGGTGGCATGGGCGCTGGTTCGCTTAATTTCCTATAATATGGTTGAGTTGGGCGATGCGGCGAGGCGGTACGTGTCATGTTCGTAAACGGGCGCCGTCGGTTGGGACTGGACAGCTCCAGACTGTCTATTGTCCTTAAGGTTACTTTCTTTTTATATTTGAATTATAATGAAACACTGGGGATAGAAACGTATAAAACAAAAAGTCACAAGTCAAAATTATTTATTGCAAACATAGATAATAAGTAGGTACATAGGACCTGATGAAAAATACATACTAAGTAATATTATAAAGATGTAAAATTTGTAAGTTTTTAAGTTTGTATGTAGGGGGTAATGTTTGGAACCGCTGGTCGGATTGCCAAAATTCTTTCACTGATAGGTAGCTACAATGTTCCTGAGTGCTATAGGCTATAAATCATCACGTTACGATTGAATGGAGCTGAGCAGCAGGTAAACAGCGCGAGAGTGGCTAGTACATAATAAAAGTGCGTAACGTTTCGCCTGTCAAACAGA